GATTCGAACTAATAAGAAGTAACTGACCGAATACACGGTCCAAATATATCAGTTCGATTCCACTTAGGTAACTGGAAAGGGTTGAAATGGTACAGCATGTGTTATGGAAAGACGTGACAGTACTGGTTAATGTTGACCGAGAAATGCCTGTTAACGACGATGATTGATTAGGGAAATTAAACTGAAAAACAATGTTCAGCAAGCCCAAAAGGCAAAGGTACATTTGTATAACAAATTCTTTTCCTCAGAAGTTATTTCTCTCAACCATTTCGGTATTTAATTTATTGTTCTACTGCCTTGTGGGCAAAAGTTTTGTTGTTGTTCCATATAAATGTATCACTTGAACTTATACTTTTCTGTTTCTTTATTTGTACCTTCATTTAATGTTCAAGAGGTAAAGATACAGTTCCTTATATGTTACATTTCTTTTCTACGCGCATTTACATAACACAGAAACGGGGTGCTGATAAAAAGAAGCAAGAAAAAAGAAATGCTTCAAGATAACTTCATAGTGGACTCTTTCAAATAAAGTCGAACGCGCAATACACATTCTTACGTTTTTGTTTTCTTTCGTCGTCATTACCTTCGCCGATTGGAAGTGTCCCGAAAGTATGTACACTACTCTATCTCCAGATCTAATGAATTGAACGAAATAAGTAGTTTTTAAACAATGTTTTAGTGTACGTGTGATTAACACAGCGCAACACACCTGCTTTGTACCCCTTATTCAAATCTATAAAAAGCACTGTAACGTGTACAAACAGTATCATTCATTCAAAACTAACTTCGTACTACAAAAGCAACTAAACAATGTCGACTCCAGAGAATGTTGAATCAGCACCTGGTGGTACCTTAGGCACAGGTGGTACGACTGGTAACTTAGGACAAGCTGGTGCTGGTAGGTTTAATCGCTTTATTCTAGTGCTAGCTGAGAATGAATCTGTTTCTTTTGCATGCAGGTCAGCAACATCATCAAGGAAATTTAGGTGAAGGTGGTGCAGGTATGTCGTATTCTTTTGCATTATAGACTGTGCCCTTATTGTGGTAGAAGAACGTTGGACGTCAAAAAAGCGGTCGCCGTCGAACCGTTCTTTGTTTTCGCCATGAAAAAAGCCGAAACATCTTATCAGTGTCTCTCCCCTCTAATAGTACCCTTGACATTTTCAAACTTCTGTGCGACGAAAAGAGCTCAGGACCGGCATTTTGTGCCATTCGATAGCCAAGATCTGAATGCATTCTTGTATAAGAAGTTTTTTGAAATTATTTCTCAAAGTTTGCTTGTTTAAAGGATCGTTAGAAAACCATTTTATATGAAATCGAAACATAGGTAGTCGAACCATGCTGAATCTTGCGGCAACATTTGCTTTTCAGAAAAGTTTCAAAAACCATACATATACTCTATTTTACCAGCTCAGTATGGCTTTTTACTTCACAATAGTGGAAAATATTCTTTAACTTCGGAAGATTTTTGGAAAACTCATCAAAAGCCGAATTTTTTCTCATTAGTTTTTAAAGATTTTATTGAACTGCATGGTATAGTGTACATAAAGTAGACTATATGTTGATTTCCTGACATAATCTGGATAGATCTTGACCCAATTATGAAATTTTCAATTCTGCTCAAACATTGACCAAAATAAATTATTCTATCTAAAATAAGTTTTCACTAGGGTTTAGAAACGTCCTTGATAAACAAATGTCACCGCAAAATTTAGCGTGATCCACTACCTATGTTTCGATTCCATAAAAATGGTTTTCTAGTGATTCCATAGACAAATGGGCTTTGGGAAATGATCTCAAAATTGACTTCTTTTGAAAAGATGCATTCACATCTTGGCTATTGAATGGCAAAAAATGCCTGTCCCTAGCTCTTTTCGTTCGGAGAAATTTTTAAAATGGCCACTGGTACTATTTTATGCGACAGACACGTAACTAAGTATACGCGGAAACAAACCATAACTTGTCACAATAGCAAGTTTTATTTTACTTGGTCCTCTCCTTAGGTCAACAGCATCACCAAGGTAATCTGGGTGAAGGTGGTGCTGGTCAACAGCATCATCAAGGTAATCTGGGTGAAGGTGGTGCTGGTCAACAGTATCATCAAGGTAATCTGGGTGAAGGTGGTGCTGGTCAACAAAAACATGGTGGAAGTTCATCAGACACCAGCAGTAGTCATGCACATGACGATAAATGTGACGCGGGATGTAAGAAATAAACACAAACATCAATTATTCTGAGCCAGAAAAAATGGACTTTGTAGCTAACTTTACGTGTTTTCTTTCTTTTTTTTGGAATTATCATTTTTACGTTTTAGTAATAAAGGTACATATGTCAGACCTGCTAGAACAAGTTCAGTTTCTTCTCAGTGGAGAAAAAAAAGACAGAACCTCGCATTTACTATCGGCATTTGTAGATTTTATATTTTGAAAACTGTCGCTGCTTCGTCTAACCTTCACACAAAGCCTGAAGTGGAAGCTGCAATCCATTATGAGACTTCTAACGAAACCTGTCCCATGATTTAAATAATATAGTGACGATCTCCTCTGAGGTTTCACTGATTTCTGCATCTTTAAGTGGAATCACTCGTACGTCAGCATCAAAAACATTGGTGCTAGATTTGATTTGCAACAGAAGCAAAATAGAATCATAGTTCTGTGAGGGCTCCGAGGCCTCTCGTGCTTCCGAAAATATTTACAGTGGACTTTTGAGAGAATAACCGAAACATAAAAATGTCTCAACACATACTCACCTACATCTAGGAGTCATTGCACGAGAAAGACGACTGTTTCTCACAGAAGCATGCTCCAATGACTATTTCAGATTTTTTCTAAGTAGTCTCATCTTGTAGAGTATGTTCGAAAACCTATAAAATAATATAGCTTGATAGACCGAAGAATTCTGTGTAAAGTCAGATATCTCCCGGCTGCCAACAACGCTTTTTTCTCCAACTGCAGTCGATTTACGAATGGCTTCAAAGGAGGATGAAAGTTACCAAAATATTCTAGTGAAAAAGCATTATAGATAACCAGAAGATATCTTACTTTACACAGAATTCTTCGGTCTATCAGGCTATATGGTTTGCAAAATTTTCTAACCAAAAACCAAAGACTTGGTTTTCTAGCCTTCAGATTTTCCGGAAACTCTGCTATCAAGTTTCCTCATAAAATGGCTGTATGCACCTCATCTGATACAAAAATCTTTGAGCTATTCAAAACAGTATTCAGATTGCCTCTAGCTTTTGATGAAAAATCAAAAGCAAAAGGGTTTTTTTGCATATCTTTAATGGCTGGCTTCACTTGTGTAGATTTTCTGACCAGCTCAGTTTGTAGAGAATTTCACGGGCTATCCAACGGCATTCTTTTAAAAAATATAATAGAAAAAAGTTCACGAAAATTTCTCAAATTTATACCAGTCTACTCCGTTTTTCAAGCTGATTCAGAATGTCATATAACTTGTGATCAAAATCCTAACTTTCTTCATCAAAAACTGTGAAATACTAGTCAAAAACGCTTAAAATCATGTCCCGAGAACAGTATCGTGAGACTTTTTTAAGATGTATTTATACTATTTTGTAGCCCAAAGGTTTTCACATCGAAAATACTAAAATTTTTTTCCCCTAAGATCTGCTTTAGATGTGGAATAGTTTGAGAAAGGAGGTGGGAGTTTGGGATCATTTAATGAATTTAGAAAAATAGTTCATTGATTATGATGATTATTATCTAATTGTACACGTCGAAAGAGAGAAAAGGAACAACTTTCGGTTAAGGAGTATTGGTCAAATTTGTATTGTAAAGGTGGTAGAAGTTTCATAAGTGGCCTCCAGCTAAAATAGCTGGCGTGATCCGAATTACCCGTAATTCATTTTCATGTGACTGATAGAGGTGTCACTGCTGTGAATATTGTATTGCAATAGCTCGTGCGTTCATCGAGATACTTTCAGGTCCCATAGAACACACCTTGGGCTGTCGAATGGTATAATTTTTTCCATATAGTAATGGATAAAATATGAGTTATGAGATGGGGAAATAAGTCACAGTCATTTTTGCTGGAATGATCCGAGTTAGCCCGACTAGTTAAGCGTGTGATCCGTGTTGCCCCGAATGGGGGAATTCGAATCAGCACGATGGAGCTTTTGCCATTTTGGCTATAACCTTTTCCTAGTACATGCTCTTCGGGGGATTCTTTCGCCAGTCGATAGAGGACACTTTGATCGAGTTATGATCTAAAAATCATCTCTGTATCACGTACAATGACTAAGAACGAAAGAAACAAAATGGATTTTTCAATTTTGATCCGAATTCCCCCAGACGACTCTATCATTTATTATAAAAGTGATAAATGAAGAGGACAACTGTAAATTTAAGGAAAGAATAAAATTTTCTTTTTTTTATTTACTATTTCTATCATGTTTGTGTGTTCTAAATAGAGTATACTTTTATTAATTGTATGAATCGAATTTGAATCAGATTGAGACTAGAGGAATGCGTTCATAATTTGGAAATATTTGTGACGAAAGTTTGAGGGAGAAGGCGAAAGGGGTTATTGAAGGAGTAGTGACTCTTGTGCGGGTGAGAGCGGAAAAGATCACAGAGGACGATGTCCAAAACTGAAGTCAGGCCAAAAGTGGGTTATCAACCACTGGCGGCGCGAAGAGCTAAAAGCAGAGGAGTGAGGGTGTGAGGATGGGATGAGTCAAGCAAACTACGAACGGTTTCGATCCTAGCTTATGGGATCTTCATCAGGTAGTTTCGACTTCTTATGTGAGCATAACGAAATATATTTAGAGTATCATAAGTTTTTTTTTATTACATTTTTTGTTTATGGTGAGAATTAGAGAAATAGAGGAAAAAAAG